ATCGTACGAGTATATATATATATATATATATATATATATAATCACGTCAAAAGAATATTCTATCAGGTCCAGACACGTGAAATGTTTGTGAAGCAACTCGTTTTTCCAGATCAGACAGCAGAGCAACATACATCCCAGCATTATCAGCGAGCAAGGGATCAGGATTCGTTTTAGAAGATCTCGAAACGTTCGATACCTGGACGATAAGCTCGCGCTCTGGCCTGCGATGTATCGAGCCAAGCTGAAGTAATGTTGTTTCCCAGAAACTTTTCGACCATTCTTCATATTCGGTTGTAACTGGTTCCAATTAATCGGGGCTGGCTCGTTCCAACCCGGCAACACCCAATTCCTCGGATTTTCTGGCAAATAATTCACATTCCAATTGGCACGGTTCTCTTTGTACACCCGTTCTGGGACTAGCTTTGAGTTCACATTCTCGATCTTGCTACTGACGTACACAATTCAAGAATTAGATTTACAATTAGAGTAGAATTCCACTTATAACAGCGGAGAGGGGAGGGGATCTCCGATTTAAAAATACGAGATTATTTTTTTTTTTTTTTTTCATTTAACAAATTCTTGCAACGCACCCCAACAACTCGGCAAAATCATCCTCGTCCAACTTTCGAGGATTACTTTGGCGCATGTGACTATTATGATTCACCAGTGGGAGTATCGTTTTCTCTTGTGTCTCCTTGGATTGTATCATTTTCTCTTGCGCTCTGTAAACAGATTAACTTATTTATTTATTTTTCTTGTTTACAAACAAACTCAGAAGACGGGACGAAATTGGGAATGAAAAATGTCTCGAAAGGGATGATTCAAATATCGAGATTCAATTCACCTGGATCCCATCAAAGCGTCTTGCTGGGAGTAATTGTACGATTTAAGAACCGGAGGCGGAACATTCACTTTGTTCATTACAAAATCGCGTTGAGACGCGACCCCGATCTTCGTACTGTTAATTACACGTGGCACGTTCAATTGGAAATAGGGATACCTAGAAAGAATAAAAAAATTAGAATCACTCTCTCCCTCTCTCCCTTGTCTGGTGGATACGAAATTCTATTCCCACCTTAGGGACTGTTGTGCCGTCGGTCTTTTAATGGGATTCCATTGTAACATGTCTTCCATAAGTATTACCGCTTCTTGGCTAGCGTTCGGTATCAATACGCTCAACGATGTCCGAGAGAAATTTGGAAATTTGAAATTCATAGCGGCGGCCAGTTGATAACCTTCCGGCCAATCATCCTTCTCCGGTGTACCGATCACCGAGCAAATTTTAAAAATCTCGTCGATCTCGCTTTTCCCCGGGAAAAGTGGCCTGAACGTGTACAATTCGGCCATTATGCAACCTACCGCCCAAATATCGATCGGGCTGTTATAGGTCGTCGAATGGAGTAGCACTTCCGGCGCTCTATACCTGAAACAAGCATTTGATAAATTAATTGTGTAAGGAACGTAATGCTAAAGAAGGAATTACTTGGGAATTATTTAGTTGAAAAAAAAAAAAAAAAGAAAAAGAAATCCAACTGTAGCGTGATAATAATATAATATAATGTCGGGTATAATTGTGTGTATGATAATTGGAAAAAAAGAGTACCATCTGGTGGATACGTAATCCGTATATGGCGGTCTTGATCGTATTTCCCTGGCCAGACCGAAATCGGCAATCTTCACGAGTTCCGGACCCATGCATAATAAATTTTCAGGCTTCATGTCACGGTGGAAGAAGCCATGTTTATGCATGAACGCCAATCCTTGAAGCACTTGATACACGATATTCCTGATTACCGGCTCAGGGAAAAGTTTGTCCCTACGTTGTATTATTATGTTCGTAAAAATCTATTCTTTAAAAACCGTTGAATAATGTTTTAACGATCTTTCTTTACCTATCCTTCATCAATTGGTAGAGATTCTCCTTCATGTATTCGAAGACGAAATACAATACGTCATTTTCACGAATTACCTCCTTTAATTTGACTACATTCGCGTGACTAAGTTTCTTCAAAGACTACGATGAGAAGGGAAAAAATTGAATATTATATTGTATTTACAATACGATTCACCTCATTGATTTCAATTACGTAGTATGTTGTCTATCCGTGGAAAAATTAAGAATATCGAATTAAGTACACCTGACGCTATACTTATGTATATTTACAATATCTTCTCATAGCATCGGCAGATTATTTTCGAATAATTAAGCGTGTCATGTCTTTGAAATTAAATGATAGCAATATTGACTTTAAAAACATATTAGTTATATAAGTCATTGAAACGAATAAGGTGAATGTTGCAAAAAGTTAAGATAAATATATTTTTTTTTTTTCTTATTTCTTCATATTTTTATCATTATTTATATCGTTACTATCTTATTATTCTCAATATTATATACGAAATAACACGATGAGACAAGTCTTTCATTTTACTTTAACTTCACGCAGGTTCATCGCCTCCTCCCAGGAATAGTACTTTCTTTTCATTCTTTTTATGGCAACCTTCTCCCCAGTGTCGATACGTTCTCCAAGAACAACGGAACCAAACGTTCCGTCCCCTAATTGATTTAACGTTATGTATCGATTCATTTTTATCGACGCTCGAAAAAAAGCATCTCTTCAGCTTATAGGCCAATTGCTCGTATCAAAGCATTCTGGATGCATCATATTAATCTCTGTAACAAAAAAATTATATCCATTCTCGTTCAAAATTGACTTTCTCCTTTTTCGTTTTATTATCTATCTTTAATGAACCGCTTTGAAAAATTCCCTATTTTTCCAAAATATGGAACGATATCTTTTCTTGCGCAACGTAGTCGTATCGATCAATTATGTATGCCGAGTGTTTGTTAATACACGATTTTGTAATAAATACATTGCTTAATCGTTATATCGTTATCAGGATTACATTTTAATTGCTTCCATTATGTAACATCGAATGGCCCGCGTGTTCATATTAATAATAAATATTCGATGACCTTTTGTACACTTGATTTACAAGTCGCATCATCTTGATCCGCTGATAGTTAAATAAATTCTGGTTATGATAAATAATTTATACGTATATGTATATATATATATATATATATGTATGTATATATATAAGATAAAGAACGAATGTTAATTTTTTGTTTTTTTTGTTTCTTTTTTTTATTCCCACGTAAGAAAGTATTATTTCGCGTATATTTTAAAAATAATATATGTAAATGCAATATTTGCATAGAAAATGTTTTAATACAAAAAAATTCTGTTCTACGTAATATTCGATAATGTTATATTGTATCGTTCAAGATTGAGGGAAAATTAAATTGAAAGTTGAAAGTTGAAAGTGACTTTTAACTTTAATTTCTTTCTAACGTTTATTGTAGAGAAATATGAAAAAATCTTTTGCTTAGAAAAAAAAAAAAAAAAGAAAAGAAGAATGAAATTGACGGAATAATAGTAAGTATTTTCAACTCGTACACGATTATTTAAAAGTTCTTCGAATTAAATATTTATTTTATCGGTAAATGGTATCGACGGGGAACGCTGACATACCGTTCGTGAAATATGAAACGCTATACGGGTACTATATATATACATAATTGCCTAGACATACATGTTGATATATATATATTGAATTTCAATTATATGTTTCAAACAATGACACTTGTTACTTTCCGGATCGATAAACCGGATTTTAAAGACACGTGTACTTTATTATGCAATAAGATAATAAACGAATAATTTTAACAACAATTCCTTTTGCTTTATCTTTCCATTGACTGACAACAAGATATTTTCATTAAAAAATTATTATTAAAATGTTAATGTCATTCTAATATCATTCACGATGTATTCTGCGGTTCAACTACTTACATTTTATGCGCGTCTCAGTTTTAAAGTAATAATTCTTTTGAATCTCAATTATGCCATCTGTAATAGAAAATATTATTTTCATTTGACGCAATATGACGGCATCGTTCGTTATTAAGTTTGTTTTTTATAATAAAAAATAATGTTTCAACGCAATTTTGAGAAAAAAAATAATGATACTCATCGCTTAAATAGTAATAAAAATCTTTACTTTATTAATATTTAAATTCATGCATCGTTTTATTTTACATTTCGTATATTTAATATGATATTCGAGTAACGGAATAATTATTCGTTATACATCACGTTCTTCGAAATTGCACAATTATATACATGGCATTATTAGAAACATAATTATCTATTAATCTTGTCAAATTCGAGAAACGTCATTGCTGTAAAATTGCAACGGTGCATCTCTCGTTTGTATCTTAAACGTTATAATTATATATATAATATAATTATATATAAGTTTCATAAGTAAGTCTTAATTGGCATTAAAAAAAAAAAAAATATCAAATCTTTATGTAATATTATTGTTTTAAAGATGTTACATTGTGAAACGCATTTAAAACGATCTCTTTAAAGAATAATTTCTCCTTTTTTTTCTTTTTTTTTCATCATGGATGATTGATCCATCGTATGACGTTACAATGTAGATTTCAGTTTATGTAATACATGAATAAAAAATTTGTATCAATGGAAAAAATCATCGATACATATATATTTTTATTTTCAAAATAATTTTAATCCTGATAACCCTCGTTTGTAAAACGTCTTTTCTCTTTTTCTGTCTTTAAATTAATTCTTAACTTTATGTTGTAAAATACAGTTACAAATTTGTAATCTACGTAATAATTCCTATTACGTGTCTTACAATTATATATCAACAAATGATATACTTTATTATCCCATAACAATCATGATTTAGGTTATGAGCATCGAGATTAGTATTTTCTTAAACTCGCACGTGACAGGTTGGTCATGCGAGGATATAGATTTTCTTAGGTCGCACGATTTAAGAAAATTCGTGAATATAAAGATCGCTATACAAGTTTTGACCTTCTATTCTGTTTAAAATCATAACATAATTCATTAATTCATTTTTCTTTCATATGGAATATATATATATATATTTTGCGAATGATGTTTTATAAGAATAAAAGTTTCATAGAACCAATAATGATAGACGAAGATATTAAAAAGATGATTAAATTAATATGTGTTATAAAGTCGTATAATAAACTGTAACAAAAATATTATATGAAATCAATTATAAGATTAATTTTAAAATTCAATGGAAAAATGATACAATTATTTTTTTACGAACAAAAAGAAAATGATACATTAGATTCAAATATATAAAAAATTTGTTGTAAATTCCCAAATTTGTATAAGTATTTATAGTAATAGTTTTTAACATTTAAAAAGATATAAATTTTTCTATTAAAATTTGACTTTATATTATCGATTTTCAAATGAAATATTTTTCGCATATATGTAATACTTTCCATAATTAATAATTTGTAAAAAAAAAAATATAGTAGAAATATAGTAGAAATATAGTATGTATGAAAAATAATAGTTCATTCGTTCTTTACTTTAATTTCTTTCAACTCTTTTCTAGTACTTGTTATATTATTCGTATAACCGACATAAAAAAACAAAACCAATTAGTCAAACACTACAATTAATATCTAATTTTAAAACTTTTGTGATATTGAGTTATAATATATTGGTTTTATAAATATTTAATTTATTTCATAATATTTCAAAAATTTGTTTTATTACATCATAAATATAACGAAATTTGAACCTTACAAAATTTAGAAAACAATTAAATTTAGATTTATCATATCGGAACTCTAACCGGAAGTGTTAATAATTAGTGGTATCTTTTGTCGAAATATTATTATTAGATAGAAGCATGAACTTTAGTTTTACTTACGATGAAAACTACCTGGTTCAACAGCATTTCACCTACTTTCTGCGCAATCTTCCTTCACAAACTGTTAATCGAGCGGCCATGCTTTACCATGTGTAGTCATGGTTACAAATACTAACTGAAACTTAAACCATTGATGGTTGTTTTAATTCTCATGTCATGATGATTCGTGTAGTCGCATTATATTTCATTCATGAAAATAAAATAAACATCGAATATTGAAATTATATCATAAATATTAATTACAAGTAAAAATAAGTGCATACAAAATAATAAATAGTGAAAGAGATTTATAAATTATTATATAGAAGATCGATCATTAAAAATCTAAAGTAATTATCAAATAAATATATAAATTATAAGATTAGTGAATAAATAGTACTTGCAGCGGTCTGTAGAATATTTAATGAATTTGAATTAAAAAGTATCAAAACTTGATTTTAATGATTAATTAATAATTAATAATAACTATTTATCGCACAATAAATTAGAAGTAGAATAATGTAAAAAATATCTTATAAACCATACAAATATTAAAGATATTAAAAATTTTACAATGTGATAATGATATATTTAAGTTTTTAATTTTATTTAATGAAAAAAGCATTACTTATGATATATTTATTTCTAAATAAGCATATATAAAATTTTTATTCAAAATCATTATTGTTAAAATTTATACATACAAAAGAATGTAATCAATATAATTTTTTATTTCTTTTAAAATAGTATAAATAATTTATGTATTTATTACTGACATAGAAATAATTGTTTAACTTACGTAGTAATTGCTAATTGTTGTAAATGTGTATAATATATATATATATATATATATTTGTACATACATATACTCAAAAAAGAAAGAATTTAGTAAATATAAATGTATACAGATTAAAATATTATTAAAAATAATTATTAAAAATGACACAAAAAGTTAAAAAAGGAAAAAAGAATCAAGTAGAAAAAGAAAATCAAAAAGAAAAAAAATTTGAAAAAAAATATAAAAGAAAACACAGTTGAAAATATCAAAGTGTATGTAACGTAAAAGTACTAAATCCAAATTTAAAATATTATTACAAGCGTTATTTATTTATTTAAAATATATTAAAAACATTATCAATTTATTTAATTTATAGAGAATGTAATGTTTTATTTATTATGTTAAAATTTTTAATATAATTTGGACATATATTTTATATTGATTATATATATTGACATACAGGTTATATTTTAAGTCAGGTTATATTTTCATATATTTATAGTGAAAAATATATAAGTATATATTATCTAATTATTTTTGTTAACATATATCATATTCAATATTTTTCATATAAATTATTCAATATATCATTTAAGTTATTTATATTATATATAAAAAAACTAATTCATTATAAGTATATATATATATGTATATTTTTTTTATATCAATATAATTAACATGGTAAATTATTTCAAAATTATAAAACATTATAAAAAATATATTATTTTGCAGAAAATATGGATCTTCTATAAGATTTCCTTATCAGAGAGTATGGTCTCGCTCTGCCCTTATATTTCCAGTATTATTCATAATTTGGTATAGTAGTAAACAGGGTAAAGAAATTTATTTAGCAAAACAAAAAGAAATTTTATTAAGTCGTACTCTAAATATTGAATGTTCAAGTGATTATGAAGCAGAAACAAATAGATATCCTGAATGTATACCTGAAAAATGTGGGAGAATAGTTATGGATAAATTAGTATTATCAACAGAAAGTGATATATTATTAAAAATAGCAGTAAATGGTTTAAATTTAGGTGGTTCTGATGGTGGTGCAAGTATATTAGATCTTCATTCTGGTGCATTAAGTAAAGGTCAAGGTTTTATAGATATTTACACATTATCAGAAACAAAAAAAATATTCAATAGTTCTGATTTTGCAATTTATAAGTATGTAAATTATTTATGATTCTTTCAAAGAATTTCAATTTTATAATTGTGTAATATTTACAGAACAATAAAAACTAAGATACAACATGCAATAGCACATAATTTTGGAATACCTTCGAATAAAATATTTTTAACAAAGCCTACATTTTTTTCTCGAATGACAAATGTATCTGCCAAAACTATACATGACGAATATTGGCATCCTCATATTGACAAAGTGTGTATATTATAATTTTATTAAAAATTTTATTTAAAATTTATTTCTGAATTTAAATTTTTAACATAGGAAACATATAAATCTTTTCACTATACAACTTTACTTTACTTGAATGATTTTGGAAGAGATTTTGAAGGAGGCCGATTTGTATTTATTGATAAAAATAATGTCAAAACGATAATAGAACCTCGTAAAGGTAAACAATAATTATAAAAGATTGATTAAAAGAGAAAATATAAACAATAAAAATATTAAATTTATTTTATAGGTAGAGTATCTATGTTTACTTCAGGTAGTGAAAATTTACATGCAGTTGAAAAAGTACAATCGGGTACTCGATATGCGTTAACCATATCTTTTACATGTAATCCAGATGCCGCTATTTCCGATCCAAATTATCGAATAAAATAAAAAAAGATTATTACATGAATGAAAATTATGTATTCATTTTAATTTTAAATAAATAAAATGTTTATTTTATTTAAACAAAGAAAATGTTCCGTTCCAATGAAAAAAATTTATTTATAAAATATATTAGAAGAAATATATATATATTTATTTTTATTATTTTATTTTTATTATATAAAAATTTTGTTTATTTATAATTTTTTTAAAATATATTACAATAAATGATATTCTTGAATTAATAGACAATTTATTTTTTTGAAATATTCTTTATTTACTTATCAATATGATACAAGAACACATGTAACATATAACAAATGCATATTTTAATATTTTGCGTTTAATGATAATTAAAATTATGAACATGTACATATCTATTATTTAACAAACCAATCTCTTATTGCTAATGAGAAAATATAATGTAAATGGTTGCTTTTAATAAAGCATTAAGTATGTTATGTGCAATATATTTTGATTGTATACAAATATATATAGAATATATATTGAAGTTTATCACTGGAATGTCTTTATTTTTTATTACATTTATTTAAATACACTGTCTAAAAGTGTACATATAAGAAAAATGTATGAATTGCCAATCATTACTATTTTTACTAATGTTTTTTTATATTTTTTTTCTGTGTAAAAATGTCAATTTTTTAGAAATCTAGATTAGTGAAATAATTATCTAATAATGTAATTTAATAAAACAATTCTATGCATATATACTATATGTTTAAATAATGGTATTTGTCCACTATAAAACCATTATAAAAACTTATAGCAGATATCTAAAAAATGTATACTATAAATATTTATATTTAATATTTGAAAATGTTTTTAATAATACCCATATAGTATGTGAAATTATTACACAATAAAGACCACGTTATACTATTATTCCTTTATACACGCCCATCTCCCTCGATGTTTATTTATCATTTCACAATCTAAGATATTTTTGATAGAAAATAGAAAAATTGACTACATAACTTAATAATGTAGATGATATAAACAATGCATGTAAAAACCTGAGGTAAGAAATATTTGTACAAAAGGAATTTTACAGAAAATATATGTAGAAATCATATTAAAAATTAAATGTTAAGTTTTTGATGATCATTATTATCATGTACATTAAGAGCTCTTTGGAATGTTTCTATGCAACATTTATGTACATTTAAGTAATGATATTAATATTACAGAATAATTTTCTGAATTTAGAATAATTTTATAAATTGAAATATATTTTTTACGTTCTTAAAATATTTGCAATTTGTGATGCATTCTTTCCTACTAAAATGCTTCTATGATTTCCGGGTAATTTTTCAATTTTTACTTTTTTCTTACAAATCTGTAAAAAGATCAAAAATATAATAAAAAAAATTAGAAAATAAAATAAATTTATTCTATATTATTATTTATTATTTGCATATTTAAATGTAATAATTACCTCTGATAAACCATAATCTTCGTCTAAATCAACAAAATTATCTTTGGCTCTAATTAATAAAATATCTCCATTAAATACACTTGGATTATAATTATAAACTGCCAGCAGTTTCTTATAGAATAATAGACCAGCAACTTTTAAGTCTTTAACATTCAGTTGAGGTTCGTCTATAATTTCTACCACTTTATCTAATAACTCTTCATCGGGTACAGATTCTAAGATGTCATAAGTACTAAAAAAAAAAAAAATTAAAAAAAGATAAAATATATATTTTTAAATTATGGAATAATATATTTGTGGAAATAAAAATACCTGAGTGAAATTGATCTTCTTATTAAATTGTTTGATGAAATACGATAAAGATTTTCTGTAACCATTTGCATTCACATCATCTTGATTAGCAAGCTTTCCAATTTCCACAGAATGTAATTTCACGTAAGCCGGTGAACCGTCAAGGAGAGTTAAAACTACTGCATTTCCAGCCTTTTCCAACTGAACGGCCATTTCAAATGCAATGCAAGCCCCAAAGGAATATCCTGCTACATGATATGGTTCTTTAGCTTGAATCTTCTGCATTTCTTTCACATAAAAAGCAGCTAATGCTGATACAGATTCTAGTGGACTATTTTCAATACACTGAAAGCTCCAAACAGGTCGTTCTAATTCACTAGCTAAAGTTTTAAATGGTGTTTGTGTTCCTTCAATAGCGTGAACAATGAATAATGGCTGTCCTTTTGAACTCTTTGATTCCAATTGTACAAGAGATTTAATAGGTACAAGTTCTGAAGAATTAACTTGGAATAGAAAATCTTCTACGATATTTTCTTCTGAATCTGTAGAAGTATTCGCTTGTTCTTCTGCAATAGGACCATCAAGCTGTTGTAATTTTTTAAATGTCAAAGTACGAATTTCTAATGCCGACAATATTAGATCATAGTTCCTCTCGAGAGTCTGTTTAATTTCTGTTCCCATCAGGGAGTCCATTCCAAGATCAGCTAAAGTAACACTGGGATTAATGGATTCCAATACTTTAATACCCATGATATTGGCTACTGCTTCAACTACACTAGTTTTTGTTCCAACTTCTACCCTTTTATCTGCTATAACCATGGAAGATAAAACTGGATGTGGTTGTTGAAGGAAGATATCCATTGTATCAAGACAACTTTGTATGCGTTGAGGCAAAGTACCACCAATCTCAGTATCACTAGAACCATTCATTGTGTCTATAAAAAAAAAAAAAATGTAGTATATCTGAAATATATAATATGAAATCAATATTTATAAAAAAAATGTAATACCTATAATTAGACCAACATCACCAATAGCTCCCCATTGAATGGCAAGACCAGGTAAACCATTTGCTTGTCTATTTTCCATTATTCTTTCCATAGCAGAATTTGATAAACCATAATTACTCTGACCTAAATTACCTCTTCCACACGAAACAGATGAAAACACAACAAAATAATCTAACGAGGAACAATATTCTCGTGATACTATGTCTAAATTCTTAGTTATGGTAATTTTAGGTGATGCTGACATTATAAAATCAGATTCCGAGAGATTTTCAATGAGACCATCTCGTAGAACAGCTGCTAAATTGAATATACCACCAATAGGAGCAAGTTCATTGCTTTCTTTAATAAGTTGTTTCGTTCCAGTTAATGTTAATATATCCATTGTGCAAATTTTAATATGTACACCCATCTCACGCCAGCGACGAACACACAATGACTGAAAGCCAGTACGTATGCCAGATCTTGAAGTTAAGACTATATATTTTGCACCACGTATGATCATCCATTCTGAAAGTTCCAAACCAAATCCACCAAGGCCACCAATTATTATGTATGATTTTTCAGGATTCATATATGTGCGTGGAATGGCTGAAACTATCTTTGTTGTTGGTTGTATAACTTTTTGCTTTTCCTCATCTCGAATTTTCAATAAAACTTTACCAATATGTTTGCCAGTAGCCATAAATCTGAAAGATTGCTCAATTTGTTGTTCTGAAAAAACTGTTGAAGGAAGTGGCCGAACAGCACCATTCTCTATTCCTTCGTTGACGAGTCTTGCAGTTTCTCTTCTCTCTGGACTATCACCTTCCAAAATAGCATCCAAAAGTATTCCATGGAAAGAGGCATTTTTTAAAAACACAGACATTCCAAGAGGAGAATCATTCGATAAATCAAATTTTCCAATTTCAAGAAAACGACCACCAATAGCAAGACATCTGACACTAGCTTGTAATTTTTCTTCAGCTAGCGAGTTAAGCACTATATCTACGCCACGTCCATTAGTTTCGGTAAGTATTAATTGTTCAAAGCTGGTATCTCGAGAATTGCCGATGTTTCTATCAGTTAATTGAGGGAACATTTTTTTCAAGAAATCTCGTTTCTCTTGAGTTCCAACGGTAGTGAATACTGTGCATCCTGTGTGCAACGCTATAGAAATACTAGCTTGTCCAACACCTCCACTACCAGCATGAATCAAAACACTATCACCTCGTTTCATGCGACCACGGACACATAGAGCATAATAACTAGTAGCATAAGCAACCGGAATAGTTGCTGCCTGTTCCAAAGACCAATTATCAGGTACTTTCCACATAAACTTAGGATCAGCTACAACAGTAGTAGCTAAACCACGTGCGGCCACCATAGACATGACTCGTTGACCTTTTGGATCACGTCCTGAAAACTCAAGACCCAATATACATTCTTGAGTAGCTAGATTTCCAGGCAGAGCATCTGGTGGCAACTTTCCAGTTGCTAACATGATATCTCTAAAGTTTAATGGTGCATAGTATACAGAGCATAACAATGTGTTTGGAAATTTTTCTGGCTGATAATAGCTGAGTGGACTTTCAATCCATCTTAAGCTACTCAAATCACCTCTAAACAAAGCATTAATATTGGCGTGTTCAACTTGCAGAGATTCTTCATTTTGTAAATCTAATTGTAAATGTCTATAACTTCCCCATTGTCCTCCTTTTAGAACATTAGCTACCAAATGTTTATTCAATTGTTGAGTATAAAATTTATCATTTAAATTAAATTTAGGTAAGTTTTTGTCTTGAATGAAAACATAACTTGTTTTCGCACCACCATCTTCTAAACGAATACAATTCATGAATCCAATTATACCTATAAATATTATGATTATTAAAATTTATGAAAATATTGTCCTGATAAAAATATTAGATAATATTTACCAAGTAATTCTTCGCCCTGGCTAACCAATAGAAGTTCCTGATTTTCAGTTGCAACTTTTTTTAAAGCCGCTTTTACACCTTCTAACCACATAAAATTCTTTTCTGTTATTTGTATAACAATAGGAGCAGATCTATGTTCTTTTTTTCTAAATAGATGATACGAGCTTCCAGCAACAACTTGTGTGGCAATATGAATCATATTTTGGTTTAATAAATTAGCCGAGTTAACGTCAATTTGATTTGTTTCTTCCAAAAAGAGAAATCCATTATTTACCAAACTATCTGTCAGATTTTTCAATATATTCCATGAATTATTAGACAATATGTTGCTAGCTATTACGAGATGTGAATCTTCGGCGACTGGTTCTTTCTCTTCATTACGTATTGAAAGAGTAACATTAAGTTCTTCTAAGCCACTATACTGTTTACGTGAACCTACTACCACTTCTAATTCGAACTAAAAAAAAAATTTTATAAATTTTTACAATCTTATTTTTTTTACACTATAATATAAATAATATAAATATATTAGTGATACAACTTACATTAAGTTGAATTTCTGAATTAGAAAAGTGAATTATATCAGACACAAACAGGTAATCTACAGGACGACTTCCAGCCACTTCAACAATTTTGGTTTTTTTGCGTCCTATATTTTCACAAATAATTTGTAGAAGTACAGCAAGAGCATATTGCTTGGCTTTTTCTGGATCCTGTGCTAATGGTTGGGAATTTTCAAAAGGTATAAACAAATATTTCTCAAATTTAGGAACTCGATATTGTTGTTTTTTCGCAATCAAAGAGGCTTTCATTTTTCTGATTTCAATACCACCTGATTTAATAACATCAATATTTGAATAAAAGTATACTGGAACACCCTCATTTTCCTTATAATTTTTGATAAAGTCTAAATGAACAGTAGGATTGATGGCAGCATATTGTAAGCGAACAGGTACATATAATCCTCTAGTATCCTTTTCAAGGATGGAAAATTGAAGCATAGTATCAATGAATGCAATCCAGTTATTGTTCCAAAGAAGTCTACCAGAAATTTTACTATTAGAGATGGATTTAATACCTTGAAAGATTCCACTGTAATGATATCCTCTTAATCTAAGTTCTTTGTAAATATCATTTATATTCAGTTCCAATAATTCACTTTCTTTTTTTAAAATTGGTGCAGGAATATTTAATAACATTTTATTGATATCATCTGGTACAGAAATTGTTCCAGTTACTGCCACAGATCCATTTTCACAAATTTCAAACTGACCAGTACCCATGAATATATTAATTAAAAATTTCACAACTCCTTCCTTTGGCATGATAGTAGCTCTTTGAAATTTTACATTCTCAAATGTAATTGGCAATTGCTCATAATCAACTCCTCGTAGTTTTGCAAAGGTTTTCCAAGTTATTAATAGATAACCAGTAGCAGGGAAAAGAATTCTTTCATCGATATTATGACCAATTAAATATTCATCTGATTCTTTAGATAGATCGAATTCTACTACATTTTCTCCGAAGGATGAACTCGCTGAAGAGAAAGTAGCTACATCCCATTGTACAGAATGATCCCATTTAACCAAACTATTAATCATAGGTGTACCATGACCAACTGGATAATTAACTGGTGGATACAACTTAGAAACTTTGGGTTGTCCTCCTGCCATATATATTTTTCCTATATTTTCTAGCAATAAATTTAGATTATTTGAATGGTTTCGTTTATGTAGACCAATATTGGTTACAGATGGAGGCAGTGATCTTCGTAAAATTGCTTGTAACAGAGAATGTGGTGCAATTTCAATAACTATTGCATCTTCCGGAATATGAGATAATGCTTGGTAAAACAGCACAGGTGATAATAAATTATTTACATGATACGCAGCACTGCTAAGTTGTGCTAATGGAGTGCTCCATGCTTGTTCAGGTATTGATGTAGAAATCCATCTGGAAGATCTCTGTTTTGGATTTGGAATAATTTTTTCTAGCATAGTACGAAGCTTTTGTCCTACTGGAGCTACATATTTGCTATGGAAAGCAACACCAGAGCTATTTACTATTTTTACAAAAATGTTATCTTTTTTTAATTCTTCTGTAAATTTCTTAAGAGATTCAATTGGACCAGAAATTGTTACAGAATCACTTGCATTATTGCAAGCTGGTGTTACGTCAGGTGGACATCGAGCTGCTACTTCTTCCCAACTTAATCCAACAGCAGCCATTGCTCCAAGCTGTAAATTTGAATCCATGATCGTTTTTCCTCTCCAATATGCTGCCAAAACAGTTTGTTCTGGTGTAAATGTACCATCTGCATAAGCACATCCTAATTCACCAACAGAATGTCCAACGATACCATCAGGTTGAATTCCTAGGTATGTTAATACATCTACTAGAGCAACTTGGATGGCTGCAATTGATACAAATGAATGAAGAACATTTTCAAAGGTTTCAGATGTTCCATTCAAAATAAGATTCATTAGATCAATTCCTTCAGGTTTTAAAGCTTCAGCACATTTTCGTAAACTTCTTTGAAATATTTCGATATTCAATAAATCTTTACCCATGCCTGGCCATTGAGATCCCATACCAGAGAACACAAACCAAATAGGATGTTTCTTGTCAACATATTGATTAATTTCTCCAAGTTTAACATTTCCCATAACAGAATATCCTCGATACAAATGATTAGATATATTATTTGCATAAATATCATGAAGTAGAGCAATGAACTCATCATCTTTTTCATATTCTTGAGCTTTGTTCAAAAGAACTCTTACAGCTTCTTCAGTACGACCAGATATAGTTACTAATTTGGGTACTTTACTGTCTAGAACTGGTAATAATTTTGGTTTTGGATGGCTACGAAGAAGAATATGTGCATTAGCTCCACCAAAACCGAACGAATTTACAGCCACAAATCCACCTTTCCATGGCATATTTTTATCCACAACTTGTATACTTCCATCATTCAATGCTGGTATGTCTGCATTCGGAATTTTGAAATGCAAATTACCTGGAATTATACCTTCTTCCATAGCAATAAGCAATTTCGATATGGAACATACTCCGCTAGCAGGTTCCGAGTGTCCCATATTAGATTTAACAGAACCAACTAATAGAGGACTCTTTCTACCTTTGCAAAACAAATTTGCTATAGAATTGACTTCTTGAGGGTCACCAACCTTTGTTCCAGTACCATGAGCTTCTACATAAGAAACATCTGCAGGATTAATACCTGCTTCTACATAAATCTCGCGCATTAATTTATTTTGCATTTCTCCATTAGGAAAAGTGATTCCTTGTACTTTGTTACCATCAGTATTGGTTTTAGAATGTATAACTGTAGCGTACACTCTACGTGCATCTTTTGCTTTTTGCAGAAAGAGTACAGAGACAGCCTCTGATCTGACATATCCTTTACCATCAGCATCAAATGTTTTACACATACCATCTGAAGACAACATGCTTAATCGATGGAATTGAAGAGATTGGGTAGGTTTTAAAAGAAGATTGCAACCACCAACAATAGCAGAATTACATTCTCCTGAACGAATTGAAGCTATTGCTTGATGCATGGCATATAAAGACGATGAACATGCAGTGTCTATAGCATAACTAGGACCATTGAAATCAAATGAATATGAAATCCTATTTGGAAACATAGCTCTACAGCAACCGGTCAATGCATATCCTATAAATATATATTGAAATTATTATTATTATTTTTGTTATTATCAAACAAAGATTTCATATACTAACCATTAATTTGATCTGGATCATTAGTCCAATATTCATCTGATTCTGATGCAGAGACTCCAATGAATACGCCAGTCTTAGATCCTCTAATATCATTTGGATTAATACCAGCGTCTATGATTGCTTCGTAAGTTGCTTCCAAGAGCATACGTAATTGTGGATCCATTACATGAGCCTGTTTGGCATGAACACCAAAGAAGGTAGCATCGAATAAATTGAGTTCCTTCAATTTACCACTTCTCTCAGGTAGGCCATACATACCGGAAGGCCATCGACGATCATCATTTGTGACCATGTCGATGCCCTCAAATAAATTTTTCTTAAATTCTTCAACATTTGAAGATTCAGGATAACGTCCTAAAAAAGAGAATATTTAAAACAATTAAAAAAATTTTTATAAATCGTAAATATTGATATGATTAATAACCAATATATTTACCTGAAAAACCACTAATTACAATTTCATCATTTATATTGTATGGAGTGGTATCACCATTCATCATAGTTGGTTCTCCTACGACAGGAGTGTTTGCACTTTCAAATTGAGCTGGCATTGTGATAAATATTAATAATTAGTTTTTTCAAATATATTTAAGTTATTTTACAGAATCTATCAGACGTGGGAGCCTAGTGGACTATAAGCTGAAAAAGAAAAATAACATATTACTTTGAATATATTTCATATATTACATAACTTATTGTTCTAATTTAATCATATATATATACGTACATATTAATATTATACTACATTATATATATAATATAAATTACATAGATTGAGAGAACAAATTATTTAATTTTTATATATTAATTTTCTTTTAAAAATATTTTAAGAAATGTAATAATTACAGAAATTATTTTTTTAATTACAATCAAAATTCCGTAAATATAAAATGACGGGAATCAGCTGTTTCGTTGAATACTTCAGACGTCTCAGCAATTGTATTAAATTACTGTAATAAGTATCTCTTCTCGTCATGTGATCAATTGAGTGATTTCAATTGGATTCACTTCGGGATAAATCAATTTAGTGAAGACTTTATGCATGAAAGATGCAACATTGCTTTTGCCTAGTGCTTGCAGTTATCTCTTACGAATATTTCATATTTTATTAAAATTAATTAAAATTATCATACTTATCTTATCTATATTATTTTAATATTATCTATTTATTATATTCATTAATATATTTTATATTTAATAAGAAAAAAAATTATCGATATTTTTAAAATTTGGATACAAAAAAAATCTTAGAATCTTAGAATCTTCAAAATCCAATCATTACAGAATCGTAGATCAGTTGTTTTTGAAAATTACGCGTTCTTAAAGTTTATTAAATTTATTATCAGGATTCATGATTTTAAAATATTGTTAAATATCTTTACTGAATAAAAAAATAAAAAAATGTTTTTTATCATAAGTTATAATAAATCATAATATTGATTAATATGATAATAAAATGATAAAAAAATAAAAAATAGAAAAAATATTTTTCTATTACAAGTTATAATGAATCATAGTATTAATTAATATCAATTAACATTAATTATAATTAATGATAATGTATTAAAAACATTTGCGCATAAAATACGTAATAAGTGATAAAATTAACATTTTTTTATCTTCACATGATTATCCGATCTGGTTTTGATTAGAACGTAATAGTAGAACACGTGGTACGGCGTTGACCTCACGAATAAATTATATCATTACTCATTATATTCTTATACCAATTTGTTAATATAATTCAATAGTAATCAGACAATTTGATTATATATTATTTTATATTATTTAATTAAATTAAAATTTATATCAATGATCGCATAATATATATATATTTCCAATCGCTTAATTAACATAATTATAATTAATTATGATTCTTTACAATTAAATTAAAAGATTAACATATTAGATGAAATATGTTTTATTGTTGTAGAAAAAAAACTTACATTTATTAATCCACAAAAAAAATATTAATATATACTACATATTATATATTAAAAAAATAAAATATACAATTCACATATTCTTAAATTATTAATTTCTTAATATATTAAAATAGTATTGCAATTCAGTTTAAAAATGGTAATAGTTAAAATAATAGTTTAAATATAAATACACAATAAAATAATCATTATTAATATTGATTTTTAAATAATATTAATATATCGAGACTATAATCAAATAAATACATCTTTCATTTAAATATAAAATTTTCGAAAAAAAGTGATTATATGTTATTTTTATCTTTCTTTTACATTATATATTGATAATATATTGATAATATATCATAATAATTATCTGAACTGCGAAACAACTTAAGTTACATTTATATCGTATCATCAAACAAAAAGTTAACAGAATTTTTTCTAAGGTTATCTGAAATGTTATTTTTTTTTCTTTTTAGACATTTATTGCGTGCGTGTACATTTTTTACTATCATATTTGATAGTCATAATATATGTATATTAGAATTTACATATCTTTATATTTTTACTTTTTCGTTAAATATTCTAAATTTGAAAATATATAATAATTTACTAAAATTTTTTTGGAAATATGTAATGATTCAATAAATTTTTTTTTCTTTTTATATTTTCGAAATTCAAAATATATTTTTTGAATTGATAATAAAAAAAAAATCAATTCTTTATATAAACATGATTAGTGAAATTCAATATTTAAAAAATATTTGAAATTTATTTAAATCAAATTTATAAGTTTTTTTTTAAACCGGATAATTTTAATATATATTTTTATTATTAAAATTACCATAACAATGAAACTTTTTAATGTAAAATTTATTAAAAATTAAAAAGATTTAAATTAAATTATTTAAAAAAAATTATAAATAGTTTTAATCAATGATAATTATTTGATATATATTTGGAAATATGTTTATATAATTAGTTATTTAATAATATATAAAATAATAATAATAAATTAAAAATTTTTGATATAGAATTTTTAATTTAAAAATATCAAATCTATATATATATATACAATATATATTTTAAATATTTTTTGAGTATTTATAATTTATCAATATTATATTATAGTATTTTATATTTTTAAGTATAGTCAATTTTTATAATATAGTCAATATTTCAACAAATTGATTATCACATGTTACATAGATTGAATTCAAATTTATTATTATCAAAACAAATAAATACATTAAATATAAAATATATGATTTATTAGTGACATTATTTTTTTATATCAATAATGTTTTTTTAAATCAATATATGTATATCACTAATTTTTAATATAAAAAACAGAAAAAATAATATATAATCTGCAAGCTTATAAATGCTAATTTTATTATTAAAAAATATATTCTATATAACTCAAATATTGAATAAATTGAATAATTTCATCACATAAAAATATGTAATTTATATTTTACATAAATTTAAACTTATCTCTTTACTCTTATATTCTGTAGTAAGGCGCAATGTTTATATTTTTTGAAAAAATAATTATTAAAATTAAAATATTTATTAAGATTAATCGTAAATATTATAAACATATAATGAAATGAAAAAGAAAAAAATAATTGTAGTTTAATATAATAAATATAATAATTAATTTATAATTTAATATTTATAGATAAATTTAAATCGATAACAAAAACAATACTATTATCTAACAATCAATTATACCGATCTAATTGATAATGATCGCTTTATATAAAATCTTATTTCAAAATATAAGAAAGATAAGAAGATAATTTCAATGTTAAATATCTCAATGTTGAATTACTGACAATTTGCCTCAAAAATCAAATATTCAGATATTATACATAAATTCAGATATATTAGCTTCATTTTTTTAAGATTTATTATTGTGCAAAAACTCATTAAAAAGTCAGCGTTATACTTAGGAACCTCTCCTTGTCAGCATTAGTTCATAAGTTGATCACGTATCACGTGTTGCGCAAAGTAGATGCGCATAAGATCAAAATATTCGTGATCAGTTTCTGATTCTATGAAAATCAAATTTTTTACTTTTTTTTTACTTTTGTGAAATAAATTTAGTTAAATTATTATATGAAAATTTATAATATCTTATTAGTAGTCATTATATATTAATAATATATTAAAAAATATATCAATAAATGTATAGAATTTTTATTATTTTTATTATTATAAATATTTTATATTTTTAGGATATTTTTTTTGTTCGAAATTCATTTTTTAAATAAAATTCATGACAAGAGGAATTTACTATTCAATATTAAGAATAAATAATGATGCAATAAGGAAAAAAGTAATAATAAGAAAATTACATATATTAAATATTCCATAAAATATTTTTTATATAAATATATCTCGAAATGAATTTACATTATTTTAAAATTATATTTATAATGTTAACTTTATTATTAATATTTTTTTAAATTAATAATCGTTCTAAATTGCACTTTTTTTTTTATTTTTTAAACAAAAAATATTTTCATTACAAGTTCGTAGAAAGAAACATAATCATAAACTCATTAATCATAAATGAAAAAATATAAACAAACTTATTGTTAGGTCAGCTCATAAAAAACATTGTTTTTCTAAGAGTTAAATTTAAAACAATATTCATAGTAATAAAGATTTTAACAAAAAGAAAGTACAAAGTTTATAAAAAAATAAGTAAAAATATATATTTAAATAATTATTATTGAATAATTTGTTTTTTATTTATTGCACTTAACGTATATGTACAAAAAAAAACACATTATTTGTGATTTAATAATATGATAATTTAATACCGTCTATTCGTTAAAGATACTAAATATACGCAATAGTAAAAATTTATACAAGTTAAACTTAATATTAATGCGAAATTAAAATTTAATGCGTTTATCATTCGTCATTCGTACCGAATAGATATATATAAATATTAACTTAGCTAATATCACATTATATATATCACGATATTCTTATTTGTAAAAAAAATATATAATTGTTATATAGAATAGTATCATAATAATACTATATACATATATATATTGTGAAATAATTTTTCGAGTTAATTTAGATAACAAATAAATATTAGTGATTCATTTCCTAGATAAATTTTTTTGTTACTGATATTTTTTTCAAATAGTTTTATATCAGTCAATATTCAATACTAATGATTAAATTTACTATGACATTACTATGACTATTATATTTATTACATCTATATTTTGTATGAAAGTTTTTTCAAATTTCAATTGTTTTACAAAACACAGAAGGACCTTCCATAGAATATGATTTTGTTGGAAATATATGTAATATATAAATATACAATTCGTGAAAATTTAAATATTATTTAAATATTATTAATTTAATATTACTGCGAAAATTTATAGTTATTTTATATATTATTGATAATCGTGTTGATTTTCAAAACTTTCGAGTAATATAAGAAAAAAATATAAGAATTATTAAAAAATCGAAATTTGATTGATTAAAAAAATTAATCAAATTTAATTCACTGATTGTTAATTATTTAATTCATAAGATTTATATGTAAAATATTTATTTTATATAACTAAACAGAAAATGATAACAATTAATTATTTATTCATTAATTAGATATTCACTAATGAAATTTTATATCTTAACATTATAATAATATAATTTTATTAAAAAATTATTCTGTATTATCT